AGCTGCTTCCCTAAAGGAGAGAAATGAAAAGAAACATAATATCTCGCAACAAGAAGAGTAAATGGTCCTCAGCTCCTAATTAAATGATTATTTAAACATATTTATTTTCTTACAACTGGCATTTGTAGCATCTGGTAGATAATTCTGGAATTTTACTACATTTCTGTTGCAAACATACTTAGTCTACAGATACTTAGTTCTCTTAAATGTCCTTGTGCTGGTTTGTTTGGTCTTCTGATCTGGCTAACCACTGGACTTAGGTTTTCTTACTGGGAACTGTCCAAGGCTAGTTTATGTGAGAACAAACTTTCACTATTCTCTCATGATCTCTAGATAGCCCAAATCATCCCTTTTCCATCCCCCACCCCCACCCAGTTTATGTTCTCCAGAAAACTATGATAAGATAATGGAAGCCGCATATATGCATCCAAGAGCAGAAAACAGTTATGGAAATGCAGACATTTTCTTAATTGAAGGTTAACATTAATCTCATCCCTGTATTTAAATCACCCAGTGGTTGATTCGTCATAAAATATTTGTAGTTTTCTGGGCAGACCAGGCCTTAGTAGGTCACGGAACCCAATTCCTCGACAAGGCAAGATAGCAGAAAGTTCAAACAGCTATGGAAGCCCCTAAATTAACAAACTGAAAGAAGCACACAAATCTCTGGAAAAATGCAGACCTCATATTAGAGAGCTCAAATAAGCAAGCTCTCAAGGTCCTACTTTCACAACTCTACATTTGCTCTAGGCTGGAATAGTTCTGTGAATGAGGGTTATTAGAGGAGTGGGGAGAAGATTGGGTCTTTAGTCTGTCTTAAAATACTCTGGATTTTTAATTAAAAAAAATACTTGACTGTATTGGGCATGGGGTGAGTTCTGATTTCTGTTTGTTTTTGGATGGAGCGAGCTGTTTGTGTGGAAATATTTGGGCTGTACATGGCCCTGTCACTGCTCTTCCTTAGTTTACTAGTCCATTCCTGAAGCAAGGAAAGAAGAAGGGCAGGTGTCTTTCTAAACTTACTGTAAAACAAAGTCTGCACACCGAAAGAATCAAAAACAAATCCCTTCCTAGGGCATGGCTTTAACAAAGAAATTAACATCAAGCTCAAGAGTTCTCTCCAGTCATAGCTGCCCTTAGGGTTCCTACTACAGGATTAATCAGCCATTACCCCTTTCTAGAAAGACACTCCCAACTCCATTATAACCAAATAGAGTTAGGAGAACCTGCTTAACTTTTTCCAGCAGGATCAACACTTGATAACAGGGTGGAGTGCTTCAAGCAAGCACTGTCAACCTGTTATATGGCAGGAGGTGAATGTGGTTCATTTAGGATCACCCATTTATCTGTCTAGTATGTGTACCAACTCATGCTTTTGATGTCTCTAAGTCCTTGTTGTCACCGTGCCTCAGTGGGTCATAGCCATGTTAGATTTTTACTTTCCATAGGTCAAGTTAATTCATTCCTATGGTAAAAATAAACATGAGGGGTCTTTGGGGCAGGAATTTTGTAAGGATCCCCATCATTTCAGTGGAGAGCAAGGTTTGTCTACCCTGCCTGGTGGATCTCAACAGTTTGGCATGTGTCATAGAAGGTCAGGGCTGTTTGTGTGGATACCCAGTGCCTCTTCACTGGCTCTAGTTCCTGGGTTCCCACCCTACTCCCCCGCACTCCCCTTCTTCAACCCTGGCAAGGCTGGCAAGGCTGGCACCCTGGCAAGGCTGTTCTCAGGATCCTCAGGAGGGAGCTCAGTGGAAAATACCCAGGCTGTATTATTTTTTCCACCTGAACTGCATAGGGCTGGAAACGGTAATTGTATCCCCCTTCCCTCTGACATGCCTCCTGTTTCTCTTCCAGCCAATCCAGTCTCTACACGCTCCCCAGTATCACCTTGCAGAGTGCATTCTGTGGCATCCAAAGGGCAGGGAAACAGTGCTGTGGAGATGGCTGATCACCCCCGCCCTTTTTCTTCAATGCACAGATCTGGTGGGATGATTCAATCCTTGGTGATGAGCATGCCATTGCCAGCATGTTTTCAAATACAGTCCACTCCTTATGCAGAGTCCAAACTCCTTCCTTCATGGGAGTTGATTTTATTAACACAGAAATGAACAAAAATACATTAAGTTCAGCTCAGATCTTATCTCCAAGACAAGTTGGGCAGAACTACTCTATACAAATCCTGTCTTCTGTCTCTGGAGAACCTCTTCCACCCCTCCTACATTCAGAGTATTCTGACTGTAGGAACCCACTTAATGTTCCTCACTAGTATCACTACTTACTTACAGGATAAAGTATTTCAAGGGAATACTGACAGTCTGTCAAATTAGTTAGATAAATATTGTACAGGGTCCCCAAATAGGTTGGAACTCTCTCTTTAAAAGTCAGTTATTCTGTCTCTTGTTCACAAATAATTCCATCCGTTGTTATTTTTTTTGGAGAGGTGTGAGGTTATTTTGTATTATTAAGGTTAATTAAAGGTATAACACAGTATATACATTGCCTGTTCTATCAGCAGATATATATTGTTTAATTAATATCAGGTCTTTTCCAAATTGGATCTATTTCTAGTTCAGCAATGCCTATTTTTTTAATTTCAAAATCAGTTTGTCTTATCTTTAATCCAAGTATAGTTTTACTTATGCCAGTGGGCATATGCGGGTTTATGCAAAAAATGTAGAACGATATTTTTCAGAGAACTGTGGTTTACAAAAGCTCTTATTTAAAAATAGTGTTTTAAAATCTATTTTTCTTTAAATATGTTCTCATATAACAATTCAGGTCAGGTATTCATTATACAAAAGGAGTTAATTTTCATCCCATCCTACCGTATTAGGATTTTGGACTAACTGGTATCTTTAGATACCTATATGTTTGCAGCTAAACACATTTTGTTTGAATCATCCTTAGGAAAATGTAAATAGCCAGATCATTAGGGATGTGTGAACTGCAGATGATTTAATGAAAATGGAATTGAATTGTTTTCAGACAAATATATCAAAATATTGACATGAGATTCCAGATGCTTTTATATATCATCCATGAATGGCTAAAAAAGTTATAACCCTTCAGATTAAAAATTCAATTGTATATTTGATGGGTAGCTATATCTGATTTATAATTTTATATTAAACTTCTGAACCTTTATAAAATTTCTAGGGCCCACATTTTAAATTTTATCCATACAAAATGTGGATGCAGCTACACATCTAATTTCTATGTGAAACTACTTCCATTGCATATGCAGATAAGGGAATTGCATGCACAATGTACCATAATTGCCTATTTTATTGTAATTATCTGATGTGCATACATAATTGCTATAAGTGTGCATGAAAATTAGGCTTCAATTGCCTGTTTATTTTAGTGCAGTTTTGTTCACAACGTTTTGAAAATTTAGGCCTGTATGAATGACTTGTACTTGTGGTTTGGGGTACGGTATTGGGGACAAACTGTTTACAGAGCTTTTCGTAACTGAGACTTGTATCATCAAAGATGCACTGGGAGTCATTAGAGCATACAAAGGATCTCAAAAATCTCAACCATTGTAGTTTGTCTGCAAGACAGGAAGAGTGCAGTCAAAGAAGATATTGCTTACTCTCTATATTGGTTAGGATGTGGACCTAAGGAGGTGTTTGAACCAAACTGATTATGGAAGATGAGTCCCCCAGTTATCAGTTCACTTTAGCACGCATGCTCCACCTAGCTTGCACACCAGATACCTGCTTGGGGTAAAAATAAACAAAAGCTTTATTTAATGGACAAACCACATTTTCAAAGATGAAATAGTAAGGGAGAGCTAACATATACAAGTTGCACAGTAAATAAGCATAAAGACGCAGCCTCAGGCTTTGCAATTCTATATTAGATAAAATTCCTTTTCTAATACAAGTTACCTATTGCCTTTGCACATTTTGCCAACCTACCCCCTAACTGTAGGGGGGATCCAGTGTTTCACAGACAGTTTCTGGATGAAAGGCTTCTCTCGCCCCCTTCTCCCCCCCCCCCCCGCTTCCTGGCATGATGACTCATGGTTATTCAGATTGGGGAGAATTCCCAGTTGTCTCAATGACTTTCCATTAATTCTAATGGCCCATCATTTGTCTTTTCTTGGATAGTACAATGCTAGGGGCTTGGAGCTAGTCTCCTCTGGCTGAGAAGACTGCCCCTCCCTGCCTAACTGCCCTCCACCCCAGTGTGAGGTGGCAGTGAAGCTGTAGTACAGATCATGAGAATGGTTTTCTGTAAACACAACTACATAAATCATAACCACAGTCTGTATACATATCTCATAATAACCATTAAGTTTATAGCATTAAATGTTTTCATGAAAGATCTTACTCCACATATTTTTATAGCACAATAACATTATATAGAATCAGTTGATTCAGCGGCTTATTCTTTTGGGTTCAAACCCCCTGTTTTCCCCGGGGGTGTCTGGACTCTGATTATCCCACAAAGATCTTGCCACAAAGGTTTATAGTTGTCTTTAGCAGCAATATTTATAGTTAGATGCTAAATGATTAAAATGTTATTTAAACAATTTTCATTTTCCAAGTTTTCTCTGTATTTCTCTACTATCTTAACAAACTTTGCTTTTATTTCAAATGACCCGTTGTGGCAGGGCAGACTATTAAGTTGGGTGCTGTTAGAGCATTTCTGAGCAAAAGATCTTGAACCGTAATTTCAGAGGAAGCTGGGTCAAGAGAGAGGTAACAGGTCTTGCCAGATGGTCAGGGACAACAGGCACTGAAATTTCTTCCACTAGCAGTATGGTAAAGAAGATGGCTGCGACCAGTGTGGGCAAAGCTGAATTGCTGGAGGGTCACCAGGCTTGGTTAGAGACATTCTTACTAAATTAGTAACACTTCAGTAGATTTGTTTCCCAGGGTTTAAATTGCATCATATTTCAAAGCTTTTATTTACAATGGGTTAGTAAAGGCAGAGTTAGCATTCTGTGTTATTGAACATGAACTTCTTAAGATTTTCTTTTTTAACAGAACAATGAAAATGAAACGGCTTTGCACTGTGCAGCTCAATATGGACATTCAGAAGTAGTTGCTGTTTTACTGGAAGAACTAACAGACCCTACAATAAGAAACAATAAATTAGAAACTCCTTTGGATCTGGCAGCACTATATGGGCGTCTGCAGGTAGTGAAGATGATCATCAGTGCATATCCAAACCTGATGAGCTGCAATACTAGGAAACACACACCTTTGCATCTTGCTGCACGTAATGGCCACAAAGCTGTTGTACAGGTGCTACTAGAGGCTGGAATGGATGTCAGCTGCCAAGTTAGTGTCCTATTTTCTGCCAGTCTTTATATATAAATGAAGCTCCCAGTCATTTTTCTGTTTTAAAATACATGTATGTGGCATTTTTAAAAGAAATCATGAAATTCTGCAAGGTGATGTATAAAATAGACTAATATTTACAATCTATGGCATGTACTTAACTGCATACTATAGCCCTGATTCAAGAAAGTGTCCCTTGCTTAAATCCCATTATTTTAAAGTTAAGCATGTGCTTAAATGCTTCCCTGAACCAGGGCCTATGAGATTAATTGTATAGTTTGGGCCAGATCTTCATCTGATGTAAATTGGCATAGCCCCATCCTCAGCTGGTGTAAATTGCTATACCTCCCTTGGCCTCAATGACACTATGCTGATTTATATCTATTGAGGCTATGGTCCTCTGTGCTAAACAGAGTATGGAAGCTGGAAAATAAGTTTACCTGAAATTTCGCTTTAAATATACAGATAATCAGTTTATTCAACACACATAGACTTGAAGAATATATAAGAATGCCAAAACACAACTTAAGAAGAGAGCTGTTGGCAAGTTCAACTGCATCCACTGATTTGCCTGCCTCACTAGACCGCTTTGGTTGTCACGTGTTTCTAACTCCACCAGTTAAGTGAAGTTTGCCTTGGAAGCTGTTTTGTTTTGTAGGAGTGGTTAGAGCCACATAGCTTCCAGTTTCCAATGGTCTATCCAGCTCTAAAGACAAAGATATGGATGCTCAGGAGTTCAATTTTCTGATTTTTTTGGTCTTATTACATAAGCCTAGTACAAATCAATATTCACTGCACCAAAATTGTACTGCAATAGATTCCTGAAACTTCCGACTCAACATAATTATTTTCAGCAGCATACAATTCCATATTTAATAGGGTGCCAGTTTTAAATAAAAAATTATAGGGAGGCATAATAATACAATACTGTAGCAATAAACCATGTATATCCACTCTTCAATGTGGGGAAATGATCTGGCTTCTAAGTTAAAGAGTATGAGTAGAAATGTAGTGTTTGACTCTGTCTTACATAATATATGTGATTTCTCTTGTTTTGTATGGCTGGACTATGTCTGGAGTATAAATAATGTTTTTACTTCAAATATAAAATTGCTTGCTAGCTGCTAGGATTATCCTTTTTAGTTACACTATTTGAAAGTAAGAAAGCTAGAGAAAGGAGGAACACATCCCCCCAAAAAGAATTTCTGATCATATATCTCCTTTTGCATCTCCAGAAAATGAATGGGGAAGAAATAGACTGAAACTGCATTAATGCTGGATTGCATAAGAAATAGTATTTTGCTCTGAAAATCATCCATGTTGTAGAGCCATATAAATCAATAGAGTTACGTCAGGGATGAATTTTTATCCAATATCTTTACAAGATATGGGATATGCCCTTGTTATATAACTGGTATAATTTCACCACTGTTTTGAATTCTCCTAAGTCAATTTTATACAGTTTCATCATCAGTATAATACTTATTAACTGTCATATAAATATCTAGTTATAATGTATAAAATATTTTATTGAAAACATTCTTCACTCTATGCCTACTTCACCCCTTGACTCTTATTGTTGCTGATTCTCAAAAAAGTTAATGAAATTTCTTAAATGTGACCTCTCATTTTAAATCAGTGCTGTTTTTGAGCAGTTTGCAGCTGTTGGAGTGTTCTACATGATGTCCTACTAGAAATACTGATGACAGACAGTGTTTAAAAGACTTTAGTTTCTTAGTTTTGACACTGATCCTCTTTTAAATATAGATTTTACTTTAGTTTCTTGCTAGCCTTTATACAATAACTCACCTGTTTTTAGTGAGTTATGAAACATATTCACAACTTTTTAATGTAATTCTGTTTGCCATCTATGTTAGAATCCTACAATTGCCTTTATTTTCAGGTGCTCTAATTTTTCTTAACCAGTTTTGAAGCTACCCTTAGTTTGTTTCACTTTCCATTTTATGTGCTGGATCAATTTCTGTTTCTGCTATGTTTGCTCTTCTCTCCATAGTGAAGAATTTATTTATTTTCCCAGCAATATCCATCTTCTCTGTCAATAAATTCCCTTCATTCTGCATCTTGGTACATTGCCAAGTTGGCTCTGTCTATATTCTTAACTTATTAATTCTGTAACCTCTGAATACTTTTTTGTTGATAATTACTATCAGTTCATTAAACTGAACAGAGCGTACAACATAAGTCTGTTACTTAAAACTGAACTCAGCTGTTTTAGTATTCATTAAATTGCTCTGCATCACTAATTGGGAGAGAAAATATAAAAAATGTAACCCCGTGTGGTAAATTAAATTGTACATGTTCATACTCTTTAAACAAATTCAGCTTTATCAGCAGTAAAGAACTCTCAGAATGTAGAGACACAATTATAGAAGTATCTGCAATCTCCTTTGTGTTTGTAAACATTTATTTGTGTAAATGGAAGGTTTACTTTAGCCATTTTATTAATCTCTTCTGCACTCCCTGACCACTTTTAATCTTAGTAAATATTTCGGCTAATAATAGACAACATTTAATTTTGGATTGAATTAATCACACATTTTATTCATTTCCCAGGTCTTTCCAATGTCCTTCAGTCTGAAATTATTTAGAAGTGGGCAATACAAATCTGCTTCAACTGTTTATGCTTTGAAGTTTTCATTTTAATTGAAACATATGAAAAATACACAGGTTTTGGTGAGTGATAGACTTTGGGCCCTTAGTCTTAAATGACATTGCACAGTAGAATGTGTTCCATGCATAGTTGTGAATGCCGTTCACAACTTAGCTACCTCTGTTTATCCAATCTTTTATCTTACCCTGTTTTCACCTTCCCACTCTGTTTCATTAATGACGGCAACCTCCATTGCCTGTCAGTCCATTTCTCCCACAAACACCTATGCCCTAGCCTTCTTGTTGCCACTTGTATGTGGAACACACTCCCTGAATCAACTTGCAAAGCTACCGCCTTGTACTTTAAATCATCTTCTCCAAACCACATCCATTATGAACTGCCTAATGATAAGGACTGGGCATGTTGTCTAGTAGAGATTCATTAAAATCTCTTCTTTACTTATATATTAAAACTAGGGCTGTCAAGCCATTAAAAAAATTAATCTTGATTAGTCATGCGATGAAAAAAATGTATCCTGATTAATCGCGCTGTTAACAATAGAATACCATTTATTTTAAATATTTTTGCATGTTTACTACATTTTCAAATATATTAATTTCAATTACAACACAGAATACAAAATGAACAATGCTCACTTTAAATTTATTTTTGATTACAAATATATGCACAGTAAAAAAAATATTGTATTTTTCAATTCACCTCATACAAGTACTGTAGTGCAATCTCTTTATCATGAAAGTTGAACTTACAAATGTACAAAAAAACCTGCATTCAAAAATAAAACGATGTAAAACTTTAGAGCCTACAAGTCCACTCAGTCCTACTTCTTGGTCAGCCAATCACTCAGACAAACAAGGTTGGTTACAATTTGTAGGAGATTGCTTCTTGTTTACAATGTCACCTGAAAGTGAGAACTGGCATTTGCATGGCACTGTTGTAGCCAGCGTTGCAAGATATTTATGTGCCAGATGCACTAAAGATTCATATGTCCCTTCATGCTTCAACCACCATTCCAGAGGACATGCTTCTATGCTGCTTGATAATGATCCAAAGCAGTACATACTGACACATGTTCATTTTCATCATCTGAGTCAGATGCCACCAGCAGAAGGTTGATTTTCTTTTTTGGTGGTTCGGGTTCTGTAATTTCTGCTTTAGAGTGTTGTTCTTTTAAGACTTCCATACGCATGCTCCACACCTCGTCCCTCTCAGATTTTGAATAGCACTTCAGATTCTTAAACCTTGGGTCGAGTGCTGTAGCTATTTTTAGAAATATCACATTGGTTCCTTCTTTGCATTTTGTCAAATCTGCTGTGAACGTGTTCTTAAAATGAATGTGCTGGGTCATCATCTGAGACTGCTATAACATGAAATATCTGCAGAATGTGGGTAAAACAGAGCAAGAGACATACAAATTCTCCCCCCAAAGAGTACAGTCACAAATTTAATTAACGCTTTTTTTTTAACGAGCATCGTCAGCAAGGAAGCACGTCCTCTGGAAAGGTGGCTGAAGCATGGAAGTGGCATATGAATGTTTAGCATATCTGGCATGTAAATACCTTGCAGCATCAGCTACAGAAGTGCCACGTGAATGCCTGTTCTCACTTTCAGGTGACATTGTAAATAAGAAGCAGACAGCAGTATCTCCCATCAATGTAAACAAACTTGTTTGTCTTAGCGATTGGCAGAGTAAGAAATAGGACTGAGTGGACTTGTAGGCTCTAAAGTTTTACACTGTTTTGGTTTTGAGTGCAGTTATGTAACCAAAAAAAAAAGCCAAACCCTACATTTGTAAGTTACACTTTCACAATAAAGAGATTGCATTTTAGTACTTGTATGAGGTGAACTGAAAAATACTATTTTTTAAATCATTTTTACGGTGCATATATTTGTAATTAAAAATAATTATATAAAGTGAGCATTGTGTACTTTGTATTCTGTGTTGTAATTGAAATCAATATTGAAAATGTAGAAAAACATCCAAAAATATTTAATACATTTCAGTTGGTATTCTATTGTTATAAGTGCAATTAATCACAATTAATTTTTTTAATTGTGATTAATTTTTAAGACTTAATCATGTGAGTTAGCTGCAATTAATTGACAGCCCTAATTAAAAAACTAACTAATAAAAAATCTTGCAGCTTGCAAGTGAGCCTGCAAATTGTACACCTAGCTGATCTTTGTATCGTGGTGTTCCAATAAAAGTTATAAAAGTTTTCTTTTCCCTCCCTCCTGAGTTGTTTTCCACCTGTTATGTATTCTCTCTGTTTAGCTATTAGCTACTTGGAGCAGGGACTGTCTTCTACTATATACCTAGTACAATGGAGTCTCAATCTTGATTAGGGCCTCTGTATTTACTGCATGGAAAACTGAAATCAGTGGATTCACTCTAGATTTGAGGGTAACATATACTCCAGAAGGATATAAAAGCCTGCAGGGAATAAGACAGAGAAAGTTGACTGTAAGTCTTGACTTTACTTGCTATAACATCGAGAATAAAAGTGTGCTATTATATTTGCATTATCAGCTGTAAATGAAAAAGGACTTCACATTTGACACTTTAAAAAATTCTGTTTTATTTCAAAATAATGCCGTAGCAAGAGATATTTCCAGTTTTTGCCATTTTATGTGGAACTAAGTTCTTGCTATTGCAAATCTGTGTAACTCTCATTATTAAGTTTCATGCTGTGTTGCACCTGAAAGGAATATGGTTTGTGTCATAAGACCGGTACATTCTTATAGTCAGGAATAACCAAAATCAGTAGTCTAATGCACAGAGTAAAGGTATTTTTTCATTGAAAGTCTTTCCACCATAGCAAGAGAGAAACTCACAACACTAATACCCCCTTCTACTCAAATATACCCCTCAAGAAAAGTAAAAAAGAAACAACAACAACAACAGATTTAAAACACACACACAAACAAATCTTTCCCCAAGTAGAGTTTTTACCTTGAAAATGGAGAAGAGCCAGAGATTCTCTGGGGTCCACTAGGGATTTCACTATTACTATTGATTTTGTATGGAAGGCACCCATATACTTTTGTGATGGGTACCAGTATGAAACCCTAAGATAGATTTATTTACTTACCCTAAGTTTTGTTGTCAGAGCTGCAATTTTTACTCAGGCAAAACTCCCAGTGATTTCACTAGGAATTTTGCCTAACAACTGCAGAATCAGGGCCATGTTTATTTACTGTATCTTGTTTTTATACGGTTATTAAGTGACCTTTATCATAGAACTTTCTCTGCTTCTGTATGTTGCAGCCCTATATGAATGGTTTTTAATAAATATTATTGGTAATTATTCTTGCCCAGACAACAGTCTTTTAATATAGTTAAGAGAGCAAAAAGTAAATGTTCTTTGTCTAAATATATTACTTTTTGAAAAGATTCCTTGGTACTTTAGTGTTTTTAATGCATCAGTATTGTTCTATTCCAGACAGAAAAGGGGAGTGCACTTCATGAAGCAGCCTTATTTGGAAAGGTGGATGTAGTACGCATTTTGCTAGAAACAGGTATACCACATTTCTCATGTGATTTCTAGACTATCAAGTGTCCTTCATATTTCTGATTTCCTAAAGTGCTTTCTTTTTGATCTTCTGTGTTAGCCTAGATGCTTGGGTATAGTTCCTCCTTGACCGCAGGTAGAGATTGTATCTATGTTGACAGGTTTCAGAGGAACAGCCGTGTTAGTCTGTATTCGCAAAAAGAAAAGGAGTACTTGTGGCACCTTAGAGACTAACCAATTTATTTGAGCATGAGCTTTCGTGAGCTACAGCTCTGTAGCTCACGAAAGCTCATGCTCAAATAAATTGGTTAGTCTCTAAGCTATCTATGTTGAGACTTTTTGGTGATGTCAACTTTGCATATTAGGGGCTCATCAGCTTCCAGAGAACATGGAGTAGACCACCGAGACTTGGAAAGTTTCTAGCTGTACACTGTGCCTACAGTACAGCCTACTCATGCAGTGAGCCAGTCCTCCTGTTCCAGGGCCAGGAAGTTACCATTCTATCTGGCTTCCACATACAAGACAGACCCTAAGTCAGGTTATTCACCCATCCAAGTAGGTAGCAGACCAGGAAGTAAAACAGGTACAAGGTTAGGCTGAGACCATCTTTCCTACAAGAATCCCTCAAATGTGAAGGAGTCCCACGAAGGGCAGATTCCTGAGACACTCTCAATTGTAAGACGATTCAGGCAGATCAAAGCAGATCTCTCCTCAGAGGATTCATGCTTCCTTCAGATGGATTGTTAAAGAGTTTCCCCCTGCTTTTTCAGGTACCTCTCACCTGGCACCCTACCTGCGCTAGGGATTCCAACTCATTCTACAAGCCCCTCAGTGTCCGAACAAAGAAAGCCCCTTGTGCAACCTAGAGAAACATGGACTCCTCAAGTCTGGGCCCCTCTTGAAGCAACACTACCTATGCCCTAAAGCGCAGAACTGGTTGCTGCTGCCTCTTTCAACCTTTGTATTTACATATACACAGAGTAAAGCATGTATGACAGTCTAAATTAACTTTATTTTAGATTAAGCAAATACTACAGACAAAAAGGAATAAAAGTAACATCTCCACTTAAGGACTCAATGTTTATGTGACTCAGTTTATATCAAACTAGAGGCAAGTTTGAGACCGAAATATCTGTTGTGCTGTACACACAGAAAGAGAGCCAAAAATGTATGGGTTCAGCACACAAAAAATAAAGGACATCAGCAACAAGTCCCCCATCCCTCTCCATCCACAGGAGCCTCTGACAATCTGAACTCTGGGGGGTTTCTGTGGAATAGGCTCACTGTTTGAATATAGCCCAGGTATAGGTATTTTGCTATGCCACCTAAACACAGGTTTTGCCTTAGCAAAGAGAATGTGTTTGACTTTGTTCTAGTACTCATGTGCTTGGTACCCAAAGTGTTTTGTAGTTTCTGCAAGGGTAGAATGCTAGTATGTTTGTTGTTGATGTGTTGGGGCATCATTCAGTGAGATCAGAGATAAGGTATATACAACATAACCTTATATACCTTAACTCTTTGTGTCCTGGTTTTCAGAGGTTTAAATTTAGTAACTCTCCACATTCTGGAAGAGTACAATGCACCGCTGGGAAACCTTAACTTTGCATTAACAAAGCTTTTGGGTATTTCATTTGTGTGTGGGGGGAGGGAGGAGTGTAAACTAGTTTCTCGGTTGCCCGATGTACTACAACCAAACTCTCCTTCTACCTCTCACTACTTGGCAACAATTACTCTGGCCACAGCATGCAGTGGTTGCATATTAATTCCATCATTCCTCCTGCATCATCTCCTCATTGCTTGTCTCTCTGCCTATCCAGCATAGCTTGATTCTCCCTTCTCAGGAAGAGATTCTCCTACACAGGGAGAGACAGGTGTTAGTAGCCATTTTGCGAACCTTGATGTACTACATTTATAAAGTGACACATTTTGAGTTACATTTTTCTCTTTCCACAGTACATTATAGTTTTTTTATTTCAGGAATTGATGCCAACATAAAGGACAGTTTAGGTAGAACTGTTTTAGATATCCTTAAAGAACATCCATCTCAGCAGTCACTACAAATTGCTACGCTACTTCAAGGTAAGTCATATTAAATTGTATACTAATCAAATGAGAGATAAATTAGAATAAAGTTACGGGTAAATTAAAATGTATACTATTCTATTCTATTCTTGTGTTACTTCATGATTTTCTTGTGAATTAAAAAGACTGCAGTCCATGGTTATTGGTTGGAAAGTAGATCTCATACAAAGTTCAATGGTTAGCTTTTGTTGTACCATGTTTAAAATTTCACCCTTTTCTCCCTCTGATAACAAAATATAAGACACACTTATTTGTTATGTCATTTGCACTTAATATTACATTACTATTTGTAAAATTAACTTTTGGTAATATCTCACTTCAGTTTCATTGTTTGCAGTGTTGTAGCCATGTTGGTCCCAGGATGCAACAGAGACAAGGTGGGCTAATATCTTTTATGGGACCAACTTCTGTTGGTGAAAGAGACAAGCTTTAGAGCCCCACTGACCTGAAGAAGAGCTCTATCGAGCTTGAAAGCATGTATTTTTCACCACAGAAGTTGGTCCAATAAAAGATATTAACTGACCCACCTTGTCTCTACCAATTTCATTAGAATTTATTACTTTTAAGTACTGTAGAACTGATTGGTCAGTACATTAGTAGTAAAACTGATTGAAAGATGTGGAAGCTACTCCACTGGCTTACCAGAGGCGAGCCAGGCCCATGCCAGTATATGCAATGCCAGCATTGAGTGCAGGCAAATTTGGCATCCTTGAACATCACTGTTGACCCTAAGGCAGGCAAAGCAACGAACATAGCTGCCATTATGGGCATAGTTGTTTCACACAGAAAATTTGAAACCTCTGAGCAGCCTTCTTTGCTCCTTTGAAGACATACTTGCAAGAACAGATTGGATGGCACAGCAGCAAAAAAGCATTAAAATGGATTACATTCTTTTTGATGTTTAGAATTCAGAGCATGCACTGATGCACCAAAAGACATGAGAGACACTGGAATGCCCTTATTCAGGGGCTGATGTACCAGGTAAGACAAGGTTTCATAGTTCAGGAGCACTTCGAAGAGAACTGGTTGGAGCAATGCAGAAATGAATTCTCAAACAGGGAACCGCTTTGCCAATTACAATCAAGAAATGAATGGAACATTCAAAGGTCAATATTTATACTTGGCAAATGATAGTCTATAACATTCAGTTGCAGGGTCAGGCTCATGTTCCACCCTTCTACAGCCAGGGGCGGCAGGTTTGTATAATTTTTGGTGGTGCCCAGAACAGGTCCAAGTCCCGCCCCCCTCCACCTGTCTTGTAAGCTAATATACAGTAACTCCTCACTTAAATTCGTCCCAGTTAACGTCGTTTTCTTATTACGTTGCTGATCAATTAGAGCAGTAGCTCTTAAACATTTTTTTCTGTGGACCATTTGAAAATTGCTGAGGGTCTTGGCGGACCACTTAATGATCTTTCCAAATATTGTTTGTACCGTTAGCTAACTATTGTAAAGTGCTTTGGATAAAAGTGCTATATAAAAAAAACCCTTAATAATAATTAACTTTTTTTGTTCTACAGATAAAAGCACACAACTCATATTTTAATATCGGTAGTCTTAACCTTTCTAATGCGATGGATGTGCCCTCTCCCCCACCGCAGCAGCCCCCAAGCTGGGACTGGGAAGAAGGGGGGGTTCTCTCCCTCTCTCCCCCACCGCAGCAGCCCTTGAGCTCGCGCTGGGCCTCAGAGCTGAAGCTGGGAAGGAAGGGGGTCTCTCCCCAGCAGCTGCAGCCCTGTAGCCTCTTTCTCTGGCCGCAGTAGCCCTGCACGTCCCAAATTCCCCCCACCCTGTCTTCTCACACCACTGCCCCCTCCCACCTACCTCCTGTTCCCTCCAAGGCCACCACCTCACCTTACATGTGCATCTTCTCCAGGGTCCAGGCACCTAATTAGTGGAGCCACACCTGTGTGGCTCCACTAATTAGGTGGGTGGCCCTTCATTCTCCACGTGCGGTCGCCCAGGAGTGCACCTTAGAGGGAACAATCCATGGACCTGAATGGAGCTCGTGAACCACTGGTGGTCCGTGGACCACAGTTTGAGAACCTCTGAATTAGAGAACATGCTCATTTAAAGTTGTGCTATGCTCCCTTATAGTGTCGTTTGACAGCCGCCTGCTTTGTCCACCGCTTACAGAAAGAGCAGCCCGTTGGAGCACTAGTGGTGGGGGCTTGGAACCAGGGTGGACCGACAGCCCCCCTATCAGCTCCCCTAAGTTCCCTGTGCGGCTGCCACCCAGCAGGCTATCAATTGCCGGCAGTTCAGCTGTCCCTCCCCGCCACTGCCTTCTGCTGCTCCTGCCCTCTGCCTTGGAGCTGCTCCCGTGAACCTCCTCCTTGCTGTGCAGGGAGGGGAGGGGGAAGAGGGGTGCTGATGTCAGGGTGTCCTCCTCCCCCATTCCTGCCCCTGCATCTCCACAGAGCAGGGGCGGGACAAGACAGGGCTCAGAATAGAGGGAGCTTGCTGGCAGCAGCTGCTGTCTCAAAGTCTGTCTCTCACATACAGGGAGTATGTCTCTGTCTCTCTCTGCCATGCTGTCTTCCACCCCCCCACCACCCCCGCCCAGCCCCTCCATTGTGCTGCCTTATAGAGTGTGAGGCTGCATTAACAACATGTTAACCCTTGAGGGCTCAGCCAAATGCTAGTTCATCAGTTAGCAGTAAGGCATCCCCTAGGAAATATCCCACCCTCTGACTCCATCAACCAAGCTTCACAATCATCATTGCTGTGTACAGTATTAAATTGTTCATTTAAAATTTATACTGTGTGTATATATAAAATATAATCTTTTGTCTGGCAAAAAAAAATTCCCTGGAACCTAACTCCCCTATTTACATTAATTCTTATGGGGAGATTGGATTCGCTTAAGATCATTTCACTTAAAGTAGCATTTTTCAGGAACATAATTACAACGTTAAGCGAGGAGTTACTGTATATTTTTTAAAATAATGTAAAAATGTGAGGGCTCTGGGGTGGGGCTGGTGATGAGGAGTTTGGGGTGTGAGAGGGGCTCAGGCAGAGGTTTGGGGTGCAGGAGGGCTGTGGATGAGCGGCTTGGGGTGTTGGAGGGGGCTCGGGGTAGGACAGAGGGTTTGGGTGTGGGGGTGAGGGCTCTGGGGTGGGGTGGGGCTGGAGATGAGGGGTTTTGGGTGTGGGAGGGGCTCAGGGCTGGGGCAGAGGGTTGAGGTGCAGGGGGTGAGGGTTCTGGCCGGGGGTGCAGGCTCTGGGGTGGGACAGGGCTGGGGATGAGGAGTTTGGGGTGCAGACAGGCTGCCCCAGGGCAAGGACCAAAGAGGAGGATTCCCCCCAGCCCTCTCCCCACAGGCAGCAGCAAGCTCCGGGGGAGGGCCCCTCTCTTCCCCCCTGCACCACACTCACCTCATACCACTGTCACTGCACTAGCTCCTAGGGCCCCTCTCAGGTACAGGAAGCCCCCTTGCCTCCCCTGTGGTGGGTGCCGCGGGGGGGGGGGGGGGCTGCCATCACATTTGCACCTCCTGCCTTGCTGCTGCTCCTCACTGTAGCCTCAGTGGGGGTGGGGGGTGGGCCTTCCCCTTGTCCAGCATGGGGCAGGAGCAGTAACTGTGGGCGGGGGGAGGGGGGCCCTGTGCTGGTGGAGGGTCCCGCTGGAAAATGAAAGGGTCTGAGTGGGAAGGGCAGACCTAGGCTGGGTGGCACTAGGACCCTGCGGTGGCAGTTGATGCTGAGAGGCAGAATGGAGCTGCAGGGGAGAGACAGAGAAGCTCCGGGCCCTGGGGAGGTGCGTGGGGACAGCAAGTGGGGACCGGGGGACACTCGGCGGAGGTGCGTGGGGGTGACAGACAGGGCCGGGGGAGAGACCCAGCCCCGAACATTGCTGGAGCTGGGACCCCGGGCCCTGAATATTGCTGGAGCCAGGGCACCACGGTCCCATACAACTCCTTGCCCCTGTCTACAGCCATCTTCTCTAGGGTCAAAAACTTAAGTAATTGATGGAGTTCCATCAGTCTCATTCTAAGGAACTAAGATCCAAGAACAAGAATCCTGCCCAGATGGTATCTTAAAAAAAGTATAATATCACTGTCATCAGTACAATTACAGAATTTGCTGCTAATTAGAGATGGTCAAAATTTGAAATTTCAACAAAAAATGAAAAGAAAAATGTAGATCATTCAAGAAGAGGACTTAGGTGGCACAGGACCTTCACATTAAACAGCACCTGCTTGAGCTGGCCTTGAGGCCTGACGCAGTACTGAGGCCTTCTTCGGGCTATAAATTGCCTTCTGGTTCAGAAAGTGCTGCTGCCTCCTGTTCCAGGTCAGGGGCCTCTCCAAAAAGGCACAGGAGTCATTCTTTGTTGTCGCAACAAAGAAGATGTTGAGTTGGACCCATCGGGAGCACTACAGGTCCCATGGAAACTCTTCTGCCTCCCATAAGAAGAGCATGGGCTGGCATGGGGCATCTCTGGCATGTGGGATGGCAAAAGTGCCTCTGAACCTCCCTCACTACAGAGCAGGGAGGGCAGACACCCCATACCGTTGATTCTGATTCTGGCCTCTGGGCATCCGTTGAGACAAGTACCAACGGGAATGATGCTGGTGCTGACAGTGTCAGTTACATCAGTGTATCAGGCCGCCGAGGACCTACTCTGCCTTGTGGTCCCATCCTCGCCATTCCAGGCTTCAGTCGCCAGAGTGGGGAGGTCAGGGCTTGAGCCCTGTGGGGTGGAGGGCTTGGGGCTTCTGCTCCACATGGCAGGAGGCGGGGCTGAGGGCTCCAGGATTCAGCCACCGGATTCAGGGACGGGGCTCAGGGCTTCAGCCATGAGGGACTGGGAACTCAGGACTTTTGCTCCACAGGGTATCAGGGCTTGGAGCTTCTGTCCCACAGGATGCCAGGGCTTGGGACTCCGGGCTGCCAGCATTAGGGACTCAAGGCTTGTGCCCCATGGGGTTGGAGGGCCCGAGGCATCTGACCCATGAGGTGGGAGGGCTCCTGCTTTAGCCCAATGAGGTGGGG